GAGAAGGAAAGAGTGAGGGAACGACATGAGTGAGAAAGAGCGTGAGGGAGTGAGGTGGAGAGAAAAAGACAATCACAGTCAATGTACTTCCAGCTAATGGCGTCTCGAGTCTGCTACGACATCTCTACAGGGTTTGAAGTTAGCCGTGAAAAACTCAATAAAAGAGGTGTCGAGCTTGCATCGGGCTACAGACATGTCCCATAAGACTGTAGGGCTCGCTTATAGAAACATCATGCTCTGGATACGGTGGTCTCTTTTTAAAAGATGTAACTGTGAGATACACAGTAGCAATCTAGATGTGAAGACCAATGAAACATACATTATGTCTTAAAATGTGGAATATTCCTCACATGTACACTGAATGCTCAAGCTTAAAGCTCATATGGACATATGGATAATGGCATCATTGAGCTTGCACAAGCAAAGTCACTAGATAGCTACATATGAATAACTATTTTCTGCATCTGTTCATAATGCTTATTGCATTCAGGTTCCTCTGAATGCAAAACATATTCAGATTCTTGTGAGGAGTAGTTCACACATCTGTAGGGCTCAGCCAATATAAACGTAACACTCTGGTTTTGGAGTTGTGTTCAAAATCATAAAGTACCTGCACAATGTTCACTGTTTACAAAACACTCCGAAGTTCACTTCACTTGACAAAACTGGTTGATTTGGAAAAGCCTATAACATCTTCAAATACACATAAAAACTGAATCGATTGATTCGGAAACACCAAATAATTTAAGAATGAATGGGTGAATGAATGGTGTGTGGCCGCGGACTTGCGTTACGCCACTGGACTCCGTCCGTTAGATGGCCTAGTGCCCGATGTTTAATTTGATGGCCTACGCCACTATGTTTAATTTGAAAGTAAATATAATTGAGTTTATTAATGATACTTTAGTGTCTTCTTAACTGTAATGTACTGTAACTTCACACCTTTTATATCAACCATTGACAAAAGCATAGAAATACTCAGGTCGAGTGCAATGACTGGTGGGTAAATTTCCTTATCCACTTCCTAAGCTGTCTGCACTGTCCTTCAGACTGAACATATCCACCCCCTAGACCTGAAATCTCACTACAGATGGCAGAATACCCAGTGAAATCCAGATACATCTATGGAGCAGAGTGCAGAGCAATGCGCTATGGGACAGCTCTCACAAACTTAAGTACTACACCCTTAAGTACGTACACCATCTCCAACATTTCCTTGAATATTCCTTGTGTTTAAAAAGCATATCTACTGCAAATCACACTCAAAGCTCACATGACATCCACAAGCTCATATGGCCATATGGATAATGGCGTCATCAAGATTGTTCACTGTTGTTGGCTACATAAGAGCGGCCATTTGCCTAGAGGTAAATTCATAAAGTTTATGGCACTTATGTGAGCTGTTACGCTAGCATATGCAGAACACATCCGGACTCTGAAAGCCTAGCGATCAGGGTGGGGAGAGGGTTACTGCCCATGGGAGACATTGTTCTGTAGTCCGTCCTGTGGGACGTGAGGGGTTTTCACAAACACAGGGGTGTCCTACCTCTACTTTGTATTCACTACATGTTGCCTTTCATGGGTTCCTGTTAAAATGCCAAGGTCAAGGGTGTTGGTGTGTGTTTGTGTGTGTGTGTGTGCGTGTGCCGTGTCTCATTAATGACCAGAGAGGTTAAGGGAGAAAAGAATACCTGCCTCCACTCTAGTCTGATCAATTATCCGTCGAGTGATGCTCCACAAAAAGATAACCTGTTGCCATGGTTATTTCTGTGTGCAAACCGAAAGGATTAACCTCAGCGGAGAGAAAGGGCTCTTACTCTCTC